ATTGGCCCCCTAAGTTGAGTGGATAGTGAAATTGGGTCCCTTAAGTGAAAAAAGCTTCATTCAGGTCCCCTAAACCTGTAAAATTGTTCAATTAAGTCCAGGTTGACTTGTTTATCAGGTTAAATGCATACAATGTTGACACGTGTCCTTATTTTATTTTTTATAAAAATATTATTTATTATAAATTAATTAAAATATAATAATTAAAAAAATTATTCTTTATTAAAAAAAATATTTATTATAAATTAATTAAAATAATAATAATTCGTCGGCCATGGCCGTCTTTCTTAGACGGCCGTAGCCGTCCGGCCACGACTATTTTTTTTTTTTAATAATTATAATTATAATTATTTTAATTAATTTATAATAAATAATATTTTAATACAAAATAATTTTTTAATTGTTATTATTATTTTAATTAATTTATAATAAATAATACTTTCAATAAAAAATAAAATAAGGACACGTGTCAACACCGTATGCATTTAACCTGATAAACAAGTCAACCTGGACTTAATTGAACAATTTTACAAATTTAGGGGACCTGAATGAAGCTTTTTTCACTTAGGGGACCCAATTACACTATCCACTCGACTTAGGGGGCCAATTTGACACTTTTTCCCATAAACTTTTAACTGAATACACATAATGGGGTTTGGGCCGTTTGGACGGACGGAGTGACGTCAGCAATTGAACATGTCGTGGTGCACGATATAAATTGCCCCTTAATATTTATCCAAATAAAATAATTAATTATTTAGGATAAATATTAAGAATTTTATCCAAAACGAACCTTGCCAAAATCATGTCTAAGTTCAAGATTATATCACATAATTTAAATTAAATTATAATTATCAAATTCAAATATAATAAAATTATATTTAAATTTAATTATAATAATTATTAAATTCCAACATGAATTGGACTTGGATTAATTAATTTATTCAATAACTAAAAATTAAATTTAATTAGACTAATTAAATTAATTTAATTATCATAGTCAACTAAATAATTTAATAATTAATCCCAAAATTAAGTCCAATAATTTAATTCGGTCAATTGTCGACTTCAAATTTGGTGTGTATCACATGTCGCCTAGGAAGTTTTTTTTTTTCCTTGCGTGGGTCAGTGTATAATTAACATGGCCAAGTTTTTTGTTTTGTTTTCTAATTACTTCATTGTCAGCGTGGGTGTACATAATATACATATATAAAATTGTTTGCTTCTGTGTATAACATATATCTAAAAAATATAATAAGTCTCAATCAAAATTATATCCCTCATTTATGTTCATGTTTTTAATGTTAATCATTTTATAAAATCGCTGTCGTTGTAGTGTTGTGAATTCAAGGTGCTATTAAAGACAACACACAAATGACAACAGTTAAATAAAACCGTTATCTTTTAAAAAATAATAATACGCAAAGACAACAGTTTTAAAAAACCATTGTTTTTGTAGTGTTGTTTATTCAAGTACACTTAAAGACAACATATCAAAGACAACGGTTAAATAAAACCGTTGTCTTAAAAAAAAAGCGCACATAGACAACGGTTTTTAAAACCGTTGTCATTTTAGTGTTGTATTTTCTCAAATTGCACAAAGACAACACACTTATAACAATGGTTAAGTAAAAACCGTTGTCTTTGACAAAAGTGTTGCGGCAAAGACAATGGTTTTGGACCAAACTGTTGTCTTTTATACAAAAGACAACACTTTTGTTAAAAACTGTTGTCTTCTAGTGATGTCTATGTGCATTTTTCTTGTAGTGGGTGCGTCACTTTAACACTTAAGATGCGTCATTTTAACACTTAAGTTGTGTCATTTTGACGCTTAAGATGCACCAATTCAACACTTAATGTAGTACATTGGTTTGATATTTAGGGTGCATCAGTTTGACACTTTAACGGTGAATCAATTTGACACTTAAGGTACGTGAATACGACACTTAAGGTGCGTCAGTTTGAAACTTAAGGTGCATAATTTTGAACCTTAAAGGAGCATTAGTTCAACAATGGTAGAATGAGAATGCATCCAGTTCCCAAGAAGCGCATGTTTTTTTTTTCTTGATTTTAGCCGTTGATCTAGATTAGATCAATTGCTCAAATCTGATCCCATCTCTCACCTAGGAAACTCTTCGCACGTGAACCATCCCATATATATATCTAAAAACATAATAAGTTTCAATCCAGGTTATGTCCTTAGTTTTATGTCCGTTTTTTCTGTTAACTTTTGTTGTACCTTATGCTATACATGTTGTACTACATAATTTTTTTGGAGAAAAATATCCCTACCGTTATAACTTCTGCTATCTTTTCACATTATTATTACCATTGCATGCACATGCATACACAATATCTTTTTCTTACATTCTTCAATGGTAAGTTTGATTTTATTTAGATTTTAATTAAAGGTTACCATATTTATATTTAGTAATATATCATTTCTATAATTCTTACTTCATTAATATTAATATGAATTCTACAATTAATTTTATATATATATATATATATATATATATATATATATATATATATATATATATATATATACACACACACAGTGAATTATTTAAAATAATATTTTAATATAACTAAAATTTTAACAGTATTAATAATGGGCATATATTTTTTTGTGTGTGTGTGTGCACCTAAGGTAGCAAAGTTATGCACCTAATGATTAAAATGTATGCTCTCGTAGGCTAAACTCGATGCACCTTACAATGCAATGTTATGCACGTTATAGTGCAAAGATAACATTTTTAAGTTATGCACCCAACGGTCTAAAGTTATGCACTTTAAGTTCTCAAATTATACACCTTAAGTTCTAAGTTATGCAATCAAAGAAAGAAAACGTGCACTCGAAGAAGGAACAATATGCACCCAAAGAAGGAACAATATGCATCCTGAGAAGTAAAATAGTGTATCCAAAGAAAAAAAAAAGTAAATATGAGCTAGAAGATAAACTGTGCACTCGAAGGGACAAAACATGCATTGGAAAAAAGAAGAATATGGACCCAATGAAGGAAAATAATGCAGACAAAGAAAAAATAAAACTTACCTTCCTTACAGTAAATTAACATAATGCTATCCTTTTTTTTTTTTCTGTTAATATTTTTTTTTTCATTCTGGTCAAAATCAGTGGTTGAGAACATATGAGAACATGTGCTTAGGTGAGAACGTGAGAACACATCATGTGCATCCATCTAATATTTTTTAATGGTCTAGATTAGATTAAGTGTGTGCGAACACGCATTAAATGTGTGTAAACACACTAAATCGCGTTTGCACACATTTAATGCGCGTTCGCACACACTTAATCTAATCTAGACCATTAAAAAAATTAGATGAATGCACATGATGTGTTCTCACATTCTCACCTAAACACATGTTCTCATTGGAACCCTACCCTATATATATATATATGTGTGTGTGTGTGTGTGTGTATGAGCGCACACACACACACACACACACACACACACACACACACACACACACACACACACACACACACACATATATATATATATATATATATATATATATATATATATATGTAGAATTTTAAGGATCGACACGCAGAGTGATATTGAAACGTAAGTTGTAACACAAACGATCTGTAACGCAGTTCGGACAAACAACCCTAATCTGCGAGGCACTTCTCAACTTGAGAACTTGCCTAAATCCACTAAAAGCTCAATATTTAAAGTACACTGTTTGGAACCTGAGATTACACAATAGAATGATCTTTCCTACCAGACTATTGAAACCTAAACACATGTACTACTTTCTAGGGGAATTTAGTATCCTATTCTCAAATACTGTCGTACCTCACAAGATTAATGTTGAATGCTTGCCTTCTACAATAAAGGACAACCCCTATTTATAGTAGCTACTCCTAACAAATTCGTGAATAACAAAGCTATTCCTAATCAGACTAGAACTAAAAAAACTTCAATAACAATTCCCTTTAGAACTAGTATTCTTCAATAACTACTCCTCTTAGGCTTGGTATTCCTTTATAGAGTTGGAATTCTTTTTGCACATAACTTTGACAAAACACTTTGAGTCAACAATCTCCCCCTTTGTCAAATTTTTGGCAAAAACCTTGATCTCATAGTGGCTTGATTTATGATTCTTCTCACCCTTAATTGATTCCACGTATCTCTCTTATCTGATGAGTGCTGTCTTGAATCTTTGTTTGTGACTTCATCATTTTTTTCTTGTTTTCTTGACAGCTATAAAAAGAAGTTTTTTTTCTTTCGATCGCTCTCAGCCCTAAGGCGGTCCAAAGGCGAACGCTCTCTTGCAGAAACGCCCCACCACCCTCTCCTTCGATTTCACTAGATCCTCCCATTCCTCGCTTGAGATTTTCACAATCGGAGAGTTTTCCTTCAATCTGGCAGTCTCACCGGTCGCAAAACTAGATATCGATTGGTCACCTTCTTCGCTAATTTGATCAATCTCCGGGAACAAGTCTCCAATTATCGTTCGATTTGATTTCTGATGATCTATCTGATCGTGTATGGTCAAAGGAAAGGAACACTTCCTGAATAGCTTCCTCTACCAATACTACCTCATTCAACAAGCCCATCGCAACTTCTTCAACATCAGCTTCACAGTTTAGCCTTGCATTCAGATCAAATAGATGAGCAGAGCCCAGCTCGACATTTTGTCGAACAGGTTGTGTGCCAACACATCTACTAGTCTTACTACCCCTTTTCCAATCCATCTGGTTTCCATAGTGCTTAACAAGTAGTGCTTTGTCAACACTTATCCATTTTGTTCTAATAGTATTAGCATCTTTTGGGTTTAGATACTGATTCCCAGACTTTGTTTCTTTCAGACTGTTGTAGTTCCTTTTGCATGGTTTCTATCCAGAATTCATCTCTTAGTGCTTCATCAATATTCTTTGTTTCAAACCTGGAGGTAAAACAAAAATCTTCTTCGGCCATTTTGAGGTAATCTTGTTTATTTCCCCTAGTTTTGATTCCTTGATTGAGATCCCCTATGATATTTTCCAGAGGAGGATTTTTCTCAATAGATTGCCTTTTATCCTTTTCTTCATCTGGTTCTGTTTCTGTTATATGATTCTGCATAACAGTAGTCAGAGGTGTTGGAACAGTTGTTTCAACAACTCTGGGACTTTCGTCATCATTAGTGGGTATTGTTGACATTGTGCCATCAATAACCTTATTCATGGATTCCATTGTACTGTTTATATTGAAAGCCCTACTGTTTGATGAATAATCTGAATAACTTAGGGATATTCCTTGGTCCCCTTTGATGTCATGGGAATTTATATGTCCCATATGTTGATGCCGTGATTGTTTTTGCTTGATAGTTGTCTGTAAACCAGATAGGTCACCATCCCATGTATAGCATTCGCTTGCGGACCTTTTTCCCATCATGACATACTTGTGATTCTGATTAAACACAATGCAATTGTCTTTAGAGAATTCTACTTTGAGTTTATCTTCACAAAGCTGACTTATGCTGATTAGATTTGCTTTTAGACTTTGTACTAGGAGGACTTTTGGCAACCTAGGCAGCCCATGGACATTCAAGATGCCGCTTGCAATGATATGGCCTTTTTCCTCCATCTCCAAAGGTAACATGTCCTTCATTCTTATACTGAATGTTTTCTAGGTTTTCTGGATTTCCAGTCCTATGCCTTGAACACCCGCTGTAAAAATACCATACGTTTTGTTCTTTGCTAGTTTTTGAGGTGTAGGCAACATTCTGATCTTTTCTTACCCAGATTTTCTTGCTGTTATTTTTGCTTTGTACTGCCCAATCTCTGTTGTTTTGTCTGTAATAGAGATTATTTTGTCTTTTGAAGCAATATGCCTTTATATGTCCCAATCTGTGGCAGTAATAGCATCTGATTCTCCTTCGTTGTTGAAAGTGATGTTGTGACATCTCTGGGTTTTCTGTATGTCTGTTGTCAGTGTTTTCTGTTTTCTGCAGATTTTCTTCAAGGGACTGTATTTTCCTTGTTAATTCCTCTTCCTTTTTCTGGAGTCTTTTTATTTCTTCCTTTGTTTCCAGATGTTCCCGGAATTCTCTCTCTTTTTCAATTTGTAAGTCACGATTCTTTTGCATGAGTTCTGTATTAACTCTGATGAGTTCGTGCCACTTTGATTGTAGCAGTGTGTATGCTTCAAATAGCTCTTGTGTGTCCTCTTGAGAGGTATTTTCTTCTTCGTGCTTGGTAGTGAAAGCAACAAAGTTGAAATTTTCATCTTCACTATCGGAATCGTCACTAAGTGTTGTGACATAGGTTTTATTATTCCTTTTCAAGTATGTTGGACATTCTGATTGGATATGTCCGTACCCTTTTCATTCAAAGCACTGTATCCCCTCGGTATTTTGAGGCTTTTCCTTTTTTGTGTTTTCGAATGTGCGTGACTGCGAACTTGTGTTGTTTCCATTGTTATTTGAGAAGTTCTTGTTTTTATTTCTGAATTTGTTGAACTTCTTGATCACTTTATTGAAATTCTTGGTGAGCAAGACAATAGACTCTTCCATGCTTTGTGTGTCCTCATCTGAATCTGCACTTTGCTTGGATTGAAAAACCAAACTTTTGTATGAATCATTTGGTTTTCTTTGAAGCATCTCCAGTTCGTATGTCTGGAGATTTCCCATTAGGTCACTTAGTTTGTATGTGTCCAGATTTGTGCTTTCTTGAATGACTGTGACTTTCATGAGAAATCTTTCAGGTAGTGATCTGAGTACCTTTTTAACCAATTTTGGTTCGGGAAAAGGTTCTCCTAGATTGTATGCAGCTCCAGCTATATCTAGGATTTTTGCATTGAATTGTGTGATGTTTTCGTCTTCTTCCATCTTTAGAGTTTCGAATTGTGTTTGAATCATCTGTAGTTTTGATTGTTTGACAATGGTGTTACCTCCGTGATGATTGCATAAGATTTCCCAAGCTGTTTTGGCAATTTCAGTGTTAGAAATCAATTTAAAAGTTTATTCACTCACTGCCCCATATATAGAGTTCATGGCTTTTGAATTGTAGTTTGCTTCTCTGATTTCAGCCTCAGACCATTCCCTTTTTAGTTTCTTTTCTCCTCTTTCATTAGTAGGTGGTTCTCAGCCTTCTTCTACTGCTCTCCACACTCTCTCACCTTGGGACATGATGTAAACTCTCATCCTAGTCTTCCAATAGGAATAATTTTCACTATTCAGAGCTGGGGTCTGCTATTCGATAAACCTTCTCTGGGAAAATCCATTGTGTCGTTCCTTTGGATGGTGTAGGATCCTGCTAGTAATTTTAGCAGCCTGCTCTGATACCAATTGTAGAATTTTAAGGATCGACACACACAGTGATGTTGAAACGTAAGTTGTAACACAAACGATCTGTAACGCAGTCCGGGCAAATAACCCTAATCTGCGAGGCACTTCTCAATTTGAGAACTTGCCTAAATCCACTAAAAGCTCAATATTTAAAGTACACTGTTTGGAACCTGAGATTACACAATAGAATGATCTTTCCTACCAGACTATTGAAACCTAAACACATGTATTACTTTCTAGGGGAATTTAGTATCCAATTCTCAAATACTCTCGTACCTCACAAGATTAATGTTGAATGCTTGCCTTCTACAATAAAGGACAACCCCTATTTATAGTAGCTACTCCTAAAAAATTCGTGAATAACAAAGATATTCCTAATCAGACTAGAACTAAAAAAACATCAATAACAATTCCCTTTAGAACTAGTATTCTTCAATAACTACTCCTCTTAGGCTTGGTATTCCTTTATAGAGTTGGAATTCTTTTTGCACATAACTTTGACAAAACACTTTGAGTCAACAATATATATATATATATATATATATATATATATATATATATATATATATATATGTATATATGTATATATATATAGGGAAGGGATCAGGTGCGGGTGGGGCTTCCGGTGCGTGTGGACACACGTTAAGCATTAATCTGACGCACTTAAAGTACAAAACACACGCACATTAAGCACACAAACAAAACACTTTAAGAACACAACCCCACGCACGTTAAGCACAAGCCTCACGCATGTTAAGCACAAAACTCACGCGCCTTAAGCAAAAAACACACGCACCTTAAGTTCTAACAACAACTCAAATTATGTACACACTCACACACATTAAGTACATGACTCATGCACATTAAGTACAAGGCGGCGGTGAAGGGGCAAGATCCGGTGACCTTCCTTGTACAGCGGTGAGGTCCGGCGACCTTTCTTGTACAGCGGCGAGCTCCGGCGCAGGTGGAACTTCCGACGACGACAACAACAGTTCCGACGACGTCAAGGTCTCTGTGGCGACCTTTGTTTCCGGCTGAGCAGTAGCTGCGAGTTGTGGAAGGGAGGGGAAACAAAATCATAGCCACAAGAAGCAGAAAATAGCGACTTTACTTCCATTGAAATAGCCTTTCACCGAGTTCTCGGTGATAGCAAACTGAAAAATTACTAAGAAGGTAAGGGAATTGGGAGAACTAAATTTACAAGGAAAATTTGCATATGAGCTCCCCAAAACCTCGTTTCCAACATTCGCAAGCATTACGATTCTTTACATTTAGCATCCTGTCTTACTGTGCTATAGATTTACTTCTTGTGTTTTATTTTCTACTGATTTAGTGGGTTTCTTCTTTTAGCTATGCGTAAGCTGGGTTTAAAATGAAGGACCTCTACACATCAAATTGATAGAGCAAGCATTAATGGAGGATCACCCAGCGATTATGATACAAGAGGTCTCTGATGACGAAGTATTCATGCTCATGTTTGCTTGTAATTCTTCTATTTCCTGGCCAGCCATGTCCGGGGCACTTGATAGCGCCTTGATTTGTTGTAAAAAGATACATATCTTCGTGAAGAAAGGGTTCACATTAGGGGTTGTTTTGCTTTCAGTTCAATCTGGTCAGGAGAAAATGTTCAGAACCCGGATAAAAAATGCTATTAAATCCGCTCTCAAGAAGCCAAAAACTATGAAGCTCCCTTTCGAGCTCTGTGGGTGTCTAGAATAGAATACTCGAGGGAGAGAGGTTGGGGAGATTGAGGATTACTGCAATCAACCTAATTGCAAGAATGGAAGCGGGAATTTAAGGCCGAAAATTCTGTTGCAAACATCTTTGTACAGTTCTTCATTCCTAGTATCTATGGATGAATGCCAGACATTGCAATCTGGTGGGGATGAGATTGAGAAGTGGTTTTTGATTTCTGATATCTTCGAGTTTAGTGATCAGACTGGATCTTGCACATTCAAAGGTGTATGCAGGGGGTAGAAGAAAGCAAGCTAAGGAAATAACCATTTTAGCCCCTACACTAACGCCTAACAACATGAAGGTTAACAGAAGGACCAATGTTGGAACAAATCTGATAGTCAAGGGTCTTTTTCGTCCAAATTAAAAGACGAGAATCAATTTTGAAAAATCACAATAGTTGGAGGACCATTGCTGAACTTAACTATATATATATATATATATATATATATATATATATATATATATATATATATATATATATATATATATAGTGTAAGGTTCCCGTGCGGTTGTGCGGTTGATTAATGTGCGTGAGTATTGTGCTTAATGTGCCTGAGATTTGTACTTAATGTGCGTGGGTGTGTAATGTTAATGTGCATGAGTTTTGTACTTAAAGGTGTGTGAGTCTTGTGCCTAAGATGCGTGAGTTGTGTGCTTAATGTGCGTGAGTGTGTTCTTCAACCACTGCTGTGAAAATTATGCGCATCCACTGCTGCATTTTCTTCTTGTTTTTTGTTTCGAAGTGGTGGAAGAATGGATTTTGTCTTGTTTTTAACATAAAATCAGAACAACCATATGTGCGTTTACATATATCCATCCATTCACACACAATCAGAAAAGCTTTACCCACCTTCTCTTTCTGTTCTGCTTCCTTTTGAGCTCGTAATTCTGAACTCAAGTCACGCACATTAAGCACAAACTTCAAGCACATTAAGCACAATACTCAGGCACATTAAGTACAAAACTCACGCACATTAACATTACACACTCAGGCACATTAAGTACAAATCTCAGGCACAATAAGCACGCGACTCACGCACATTAATCTACCGCACAACCGCACGGGAAGCAATATATATAGGGTTGCAATCAAATACAAACTGTAACACCCCCGATTTTAAGCAAAATTTAAAACCATTTAAGCTTAATAAAAGAGATAAAGTCTAATCATAAAGCGGAAGCTAAATGCATCAAAACCGGGAAAGCGTTATGCTAGGCTAAAATCTAACTAAATCATCATTCATCAACAAAGTCATAATATTCAAGGCACACAGGCCACAAGTCTAACTAGAGAACATAAAGGAGATACGTTATCTATCCGTCTTCTAGCGCACTCGAGGGAACTACTCATCACCTGGAAACACGAGGGTAGCACCCGTCAGCGAATAATGCTGGTAACCACCAATACACGTTAAGTATCATATCATATAAGTATAGGGAAAATTAGTTGAGACAGTGGAATACAATATATATCCTTTTAAAACAATTGATAGAGCTGTAACAAGACTCATCACATACACTCTCAATCAAGGACCAATAACAATGGTTACTCAATAAGCCAACAAGACACCATACGATAACCGACAAAGAGATAACACCAATTAATCTCATAAGAAATGAAAGACAAGATCATATTTAATACAAGTCATACTTTCCACACAAGATAATTCAAAGATCACATATCAAATGACTAGTTTCAAGTTCCAACCTTATACCCTGTGCCACCCTTATGGCTACACCCGTCCTTATCTAAGTTCCAACCTCTACCTCCGAGTGCCACACTGTACACCGAGTCCAACCTTATTCTGCCTGGGACTGTCGTGCCCCACCAATCATTATACCGCCGAACTCTCAGTACACGAGAGTACCATTAAATATCATAGTAACATACCACCGATCTCATGAGCAAAGCTCAGTAACAATACCACCAATCTCATAGTAACACATATTCATCATCAAGAGGATTGAGGCTCATAAATAGCCCAATCGAGCATCAACAAACGTAAGCAATCATATGCACAAAATTGTGTCAAGGAATTCAATCAAGAGGTTTCAATAGAAGACATGAAACAGCAATCAACAACGGTTAACAACCATAGACTTTAATCCAAAGATCACCATGATTGGCAACACAAGTTGCCAATCCTCATTAGGAATGAACAAACAACACATACTAGCATCAACGACTTCATAACTAGCATGTACATCAAACGGATAAACCAAAATGGTTCCAACGAACCTCAACGATTTACATCAGTCCAACGAATCACAAAGGTTGGACCATAAGCATGATTCAAGACATCAAATCCTAACACAGATACTTAGAACATCATTCTAGACATACGAAACATCAAAGGAGACACACAATTGCACAAGGATTCAACAAAATGGAGGCCAAAGCACAACGTATCAGTGGGCACACGGTGGGTGGACAACCACCCGCCAACCCCCTTCATGTGTACCAGCAGGTGGAACCGCGGGTGGGCCTCTACCCGCCGGTACAAACCACTCCACCCGTGGGTGGAATGGCGGGTGGACAGCCACCCGCTGTTCCGCCCGCGGGTACCATCCTGTACCCACAATTTCCCTTTGAGAAAAACATCAACAATTCCAAGTCCAAGTCCAAAACACCTCAAATCTCAAATTCAACAAGGAAATGACTTGAACACATGAATAGCTAAAAGAATAGCATTTATGAACCCTAGATACAAGCTCTAAACATGTATAAACACAAAATTATGCATCAAATCACTCAAAACATCAAAAACAACCATATAATGTCAAGAAATCATCATAAAAGTGTAAAATAGGTTTTGTAAAGCATGGGTTACCTTTGTAGACCACAAATCTCTTCCTTAGACTCCTAAACTTCTCCTTGGAGTTCCTCCTCACTCAAATCTTCTCAACAAAACCAATAACCACACAAAGAAAACTATTCTTAGATAAAGACCATGAAAGACTAACCATGAACACTAGCTAAGCTAAGATCTTACCCTCCCTAATGCTTTAATGGTGGAAAGGTGCAATCTTGAAGAGTTTCTTTGCAAGGAAGAAGGTGGACTTTACTTGGCTTGGGAAGAAAGCTACTATTCTAGAGAGAGGGTGAAGAGTTTAGAGTGTCTTGCCAAATGGGGGAAGTGAAATATGATCTTGATAGGGAAAGGCTTGAATGCCAAGCAAATGTGAAAAGACAAGCATACCCTTACTAAAAGGCTAGGAAGACAAAAAGGCCATGTACAACTTATAAAGCTAAAAGTCCCTTTCCTCCTTTTGAATAAATCAATTGACCAAGGGATTGGTCAATTTAAGTCCTCCAACTTTCAATTAAAGAATTGGAAGGGAAAATTCATGAGAAGACTTAGAATTAATTACATAATTAATTCTATTTAAGGATTGAATTTTCGGGGTATCACACAAACCCCACTTAAAATACAAACTTATGCTCGTGCACACATTAACATACTTACATGCACACAGGGCGCACTGTCCAAAATTTCTAGGATTAGTTCATGCACACATTAACATACTTACATGCCCACAGTGCGTAGGAGGAAAAATCACAACCATCCATCAACGCTCGTGCACACATTAACATACTTACATGCACACAGCGCGTAGGAGCAAAAAATCACAACCATCTACCAAAGCTCATGCACACATTAACAGACTTACATGCACACTGGGAACACTGCCAACAATATCTAGGATTAGCTCATGCACACATTAACGTACTTACATGCACACAGTTTGTATTTTAAAGGGGGGGGGGTTTGTACCTGCAGGTTTGTATTTGAAAATATATATATATATATATATATATATATATATATATATATATATATATATATATATATATTTTAATTATGATGGATATTGTAATATTTACATGTGAAATTGTAATATTGTTTAAGGTAAAATTAATTATTACTAATGATAAATATTACTCACATAGTATTTATAACTGAAATTGTGATACTTATACACCTGGTTGTCTACAATCAGAATCTCTTACGGACTTCCAAAAAATTTTGCCCAGAATTATTAATTAGTAACCCATATAAATCATACAGAATTATTAATTAGTAATTAGTAACCCATATAAATCATACAGAATTATTAATTAGTAATTAGTAACCCATATAGATCATACAGAATTATTAATTAGAACCCATATGAATCATGCATGCATACAAGTGCGCTATAAGCAACCAGCTCGCTATAAATTGTTGTGACTTGATACGACTCTTATCCTCTACAAGCCTATATTTCGAAGAATCTGCCCCGGCCAACAATGGCGCTAAAAGTTGAAATTCATCCGAAAGAGAATGTCAGGCCATTTTCCCCAACTCCTCATTCCCTGAGAAACTATAAGCTCTCTCATATTGATCAAATAGAAGGAACTCATTACACCTCCATGTTGTTCTTCTACAACTCCGGATTTGTACGGTTGACCATCTCCGGCAGCTGCTTCCGTATGATCCCTATCCAATGGATTTTGATCCTTCCCAGCCCATGTTAGGTGTTCAGGTGAACAAATTTCGGTGCGGCGGAACCGCGGTGGCGTTTTGCCTTTGGCACGGCGTGGCTGATGCTGCCGCGATTGGTGGATTCGTCCAGACCTGGTCGGCAATCAGCTGGGGTGAAGGAGGCGGAGGTGATCTCGTGGTGGACGCCACCGCAATTTTCCCGCCCGCTCTAAACTTCGACTTCTCTGCCCCAACATCCGTCGCCGCGAGATTGGTAAAATCGAACCAAGGAAAATACTCAAAGAAACGATTTGTTTTTCGCAAGGAGGAGATTGAGCGGATGAGGGACGAGTATATCCTTTCAGATCGCTGTCGTCCGAGTTCAGTGGAGGCATTGTCGGCGTTCTTATGGGCTGCCGTGATAAGAGCTAACCAAAACGCCAAGATGTACCTTCTGACACAAGCCACGGACTTGCGAAAGAGGCTGAATCCGCCATTCCCATCTATGTGCTTAGGCAACATCGTCTATCTTACCGCTGCACGGTGGATGAGCGACGGGGCAGGCGGCGTTACTGCCCAGTCTCTTGTAGGGAAAATCCGAGAAGCTATCATGAAAGTGACGGGCGAGCATGTGAGCAAAATTGAAGCTCAAGGTGGGTTGGCGACCGAAATAGAAAAGATAGCAGCTTTTGGTGTTGATAAGATTAAGTTTTTCGGCATCAGTAGTGTTTGCGGCTTTCCATTTCATGAGTTTGATCTTGGGTGGGATAAGCCGATTTGGTTTCTAGCGGCCCCATTTAATCTAATGGACGGCGCTAATTTGTACAAGACTGGTGATGGGGGCATAGAAGGGATAATTGGATTGACACCGCAGGTTATGTCCACTTTAGATAAGGACAAAGAGTTTATTGCTCGTGTATCTTGTATCCAAACCTTGTCATCGGAACTGTCTACTTTACCAAGCAACTATTAATCTCAATAGTATCAATGGTACGGTAAATATAAGTAATAATAATGTCAGGTATGTTATAACCTTTGGTATTTGGATGTAGTACGTACCAATAATAATACTAATGGTACGGATTGGTACAGTGTATATCCATGTATTGTACCCATGTACGGTCTAAGAATAAAGTTTTACTTTACACTGTTATTGTAATAATAAAAAAATGAATTAAATATATTATAGTAATTAACTATATATATGACATCACAATAATTTATTAGAAGATGTTACAACACACAAAAAAGAATAATAACTATCAAAATTGTAATTTTATTTACAAATTGGTAAAGACTTCCTTGTAAATCACATTAGTGGTTGAAGTACAATTGTTATTAAGATCATTACAAATTAGAATTTTTAAACTCTTAGGATTGCTAACCCTATACTCAACAACATACAATTGGCCATTTAAAAACACCGTTTTCTTCAGTATAATTTGTCAAAAAATGACATTTCTTTAAACTTCTTTCTCTACCTGCACGAAAGAACAACTCTAAATTAGCTTTATGTTGAAATATATGGTTAGTCATGTAACAAATGAATTGTGCATAATGGATCAAATGAACAAAATAAAGATCATTTTGAACAACATTGTGACACTTCATAAGCAAAATAAGGTTAAATATGGGGTAGACATGGGGTATAAATATGAACAATTATGCACTTATCAACTCCCCCACACTTAAACCTTTGCTTGTCCTCAAGCAAAAACAAGAAATAAATCACCAACCTAGCAATGAAATTGATCTTACCCCCAATTTGCACAACCGATCAAACCACAAACCAACTTGCTACAAGACAACTTGTTTCAAGAATCACCTTAGTTTGGCACACAAGTTCCATTCTCAAGCCAATAACCAAACACCAAAACCATTTAAGTACGTGATGATCAAGTGTGCACAAATGCTAAGTTGAGATTATGCAAAACTTGGCTTTGAATGAGAATCCATAGGCTTGCCCTTCATACTCCCACTAGTTCAACTCTAAGAACGTATGCTAAGATCAAATAGGTCTTTATTAGGCTTGTAATGGGGCTAGGGGTGAATGACTAACAAAGAAGTGGTATAGGAATAAAACAAAGGAGAGAACTTTACATTTATTCACAATTGAAGCTAGAAGAGATATAACTTCTATGGACAAAGGAGCAATTTACAATTGACACAAAGCAACACTCGAAAGAGGTGGGGTTGAGTACAACTTTCAAAACAACCTTCAAACTTTTATTATTATTATTCTTCTTCTTTTCTTTTCATTTTTCTCATTTCATCTCTTTTTTCATGACTTTTTTTTCTCAATTTTCTCATCATTCTTTTTTTCTTCTTTTCTTTTTTCAAAACAAACAACAAACTTATTCAATGAATCAAGACCCCCACATTTAGACAAAATTATCAAGAGGATTGCTAACAAAACAAGCTCCAATAAAGATCTCTTCCAAGAAAAAGAATAAATGTTCTATTCTCCCAAGGGTGGAGGAAAATATTTTTGGTTAAGGGTTAAAGGTTAAATGATGAGGGTTAACATAAGGAAGAACAAACACAAAGAAGGGACAAGTGCTTAACACTTATTAAACAAACAAAAGGCTCAACGGGGACAATTAGGGGTAAACACATATGTAAAGGGTAGGCTTAAAAGGCTTGGGCTAAACAAAAATGGCCTAAATAATTTCAAAATATGCAAATCTTAGACTTCACTTGGAGAGTAATGAGGCAAGTTCTATAAAAACAACCATGACCGGAATCTCACATAAGCCTTCACTAGCAATGCATAACACACATGATCAAGAATTGATTCAATTAAGTGGTTAACAAGGTTATTGGCAAGAGAATAGATCAATCATGTATTACCCCTTGGCTCATCAATCACAAGTTGAATTGCAACAAGTTCCACCAAAACAAACCACAAACCAACAAAGAGGGAGTAGATCACAACTTCAAGCAAGGAAATGTAATTTACCAAACATTATGCACAAAGAGTCATCCAAGCAAAGTTTCAGAAATTTCCCAATTTTTGTCCTCCCCCCACACTTAAAAATTACATCGTCCTCGATGTGAAAGACAACAAAGAACAAGGGGGGAAGGATAGCACAATAAGCACAAGGAGCACAATCTCTACTATCTACACAAAGTAAAGCATTATACACAATTAAAGAAAGTAGAGAAGGTAGATGAGACTCCCCTAATGAATCTTCTTGTGCCAAAGAATCACCATGAAGCCTTCTTGAAATTGAACATACTCCTTTGTGTCAATCCTAGGAGTCAAGATCATATAGACATGAAAGCACAAGTGAAAGCATGATATATCAAAAATAAAAGTGCTAAGAAAAATAAAGAAGAAGATAAAAGTGCAATAAAATGAAAGATAACATGAGGTGCCTCCCATGAAGCGCTAAGTTTAACGTCGCTAGCTCGACTCAACCTCTCAAGGAACTATCCATGCATGATTGGATGAAGATGAGTCCTTTTTCTTCGTCCACTTTCTCTTCAATAAATGTCCTTAAATGACGGGCATTAAGGAACTCCTTTAAGCTGAAAAGTAGCATATTCTCCTCAAAGATATTGCAATGATCCACTTCCAAGAATATGCTCTCTTCTTCAATCTTCATCTCCTTTTCTTTTTCTTCAACATTATCTTCCAAATAGCACTTCAAGTGGTGGCCATCAATAAGTTCATTTAAGATCAAGTTCACCACTCCAATTGCTAGGACTCCATTGCTCTTCATTCCAAACTTTATGCATCTTTCCTCAAATCCATTCTTGATCCATAAATCAACCAATGATTTCTTCCTAAACTTTGGATCAAGATAGTAGCTATGAGCTTGATCCTTTTCTTGATCTCTACATTTTTCCTCTTCTTGATTTTCCTTTTCTTGAGCAAGTAATGGAAACCTTGGGTCTTCGTCATGCACCAATAGGAAGTTAGAATCCTTGGATATGAATATAGGCCAATGAGGGCTTACACTTTTAAGAATATTGACTCCTCCCGATTCCCAAATCACTCTAAAGTCCTCATCTAAGGGAGTGCCATCCATTGAAGGGAATTCCTCATTTGTGCCAAAAATTTCATCAACTTCATCATTCTTTAGCACTTCTTCACTTGGACCATCTCCAAGTTGCTCCTTATCACCATTCCCTTGCAATTCTATACTTCCCCAACTTGGTGTCTCCATCTCAATGCACTCATCATAAACCTCATTATCTTCATCTTTATCTCCAAGGTCCTCACCCTCCTTTTCATTTCCATCAACCACATGACCTTCATTTGGCAAGAGCAACTCTTGTAGAACATCTACATTGGAAGACAATTCTTGAACGGGTTCTTGAGTTGTCAAACCTTGTATATGAGCCATCATGTTGTCTAGTAGAACTTGTTGCTCATTCATTTGCTTAAGCATGTTGGCCATCATGGACTTCATCTCGGACTCTTGATCAAATGGTTGACATTCTAGTTGAGGTTCTTTGTAATGGACATCTTGAAATTGGTCTTCATATTGTTGTTGAGGTTCTCGAACTTGGCCTTGATATTGGAAATTAGGATCAAAGATGTAGCATCCTTCGACTTCATGTGGTCCTCCACATATGGCACACCAAAGAGGTTGTGGCATGAACATTGGTGGTGTACCTCCTTGAAAAGCTTCTTCATTGACATTGACATTATATTCCAAAGCTTGTTGTGGATCATCTTGATGAGGCACTTGCTAAGTGGGAGTCAAAATATGGCAACTTTCCAAAGCATGAGAACCACCACATATAGCACACCATGGAGATTGTGGCTCCAAAGCTTGAAAAGTGTTTTCTTGAGGAACTTCTTGACTCATGTTGACACCACACTCTTGAGGGAAATGTTGACAATCTTGAGGTGGTGTTGGACTTGTGGAGTTTAACTTGTAACAATTCTCCAATACATGAGCTTCACCACAATAGGAACACCACTTAGAATAAGAAATGAATGATTGAAGTGGACCACCTTGAAAGGTCTTTATACCCATTTTTATGAAATCGGGCAATGACATTCTTTGCTCTTGGAAATCATACCCCTCCATGATTCAAAGTTCTTGATTGAGTGGTGAAAACTCTTCCTTTTCAATTAAGAGTGAATGCACAAAGAAAAGATCCTTCAACCAAATCTCAATCAAGGTAAGACAATTAGCTCTTTAAACAATAAAAACAAACAAAAAGAAAGAAAAAGCTTAGTCTCCTAAGATTTCCCTAAACTCTAATGCTAGCAAAACAAGCAATCACATAGAACCACCAAATTACCAATCCCCGGCAACAGCGCCAATTTTTGATTGTAGCAAAAATAAGATGTGAGCTCGGGTGTGAAATGTCGTCCTCAGGGGATTGGGGGTTATGGCACGCAATATGCAATCGCAAGAAACTAGGCACTAACATAAGGAAATCAACAAGAAGCTAAGCAAACTATAACAAGGATGAGACAACGGTAACTAAACAAAATACCAAAAACTCATACGAACAAGAGATAAATACGAAATAAAGAAATAGGACTCAAGCTAGGGAGCATTATCATCTAGATGCTTTAACAACCTGAGGGATTATGGAGAACAAGTAACCAAGGAATCAAGCGGGTTTGCACGAAGGTATCCTAGTCTACGAACCATTCTCGTGATTAATAAACAAGGATTAGAACAAGGGATTGCCCCACTCTCGTGGTGAATCAATTCCAAGTTCATCAAGCGCACAAAGCATCCAAAGCCCCCAATTTCCCATATTTTCGTAGGAAGAAATCGGGTCTATGCAAGGGGTGGCTTGGATTCATCACCCAACTCTCGTGGAGACAAGGAATCCTCCAAAAACAAGCTAATGAATGTGTACATCAAACATTAACAAGATATAAATACAAAACCTTCACAAACACATGAAGCCTAGGTTGGAGTTCTTCCCCTTTTTTGCAATAATCACAAATCAAGCATCAAGATAGATAATACAACCCTAACTCAAGTCCATAATCTA